TTATCTTAAGTGATAATTTTATACCACAACATTAGAAGTTAATGTTGAAAACAATACCTGCTGAAACTCAAGCTAACAGTCTCCTTTTTCTGATTTGTTCTGATAAGGCCCATATTGTACGTTATTCTAATTTTTGACTTCTACACATTTCAGACTACCAGAGTAAAGCTTGATTAGCATTTCCTAACCTTTTCTAGTATTTCACATAATATTTGCATATGTACAGTCTGCCAAGATCTGCGATTTTTTGGCTGGAAGGCATTATGGTGGGATGAGAGAGGATAAATACATTTGCCTCACGTTTAAACTATTCTTTTGCATTTGTACTCTATAGCCACATTGTATAAAAATATATCACACATATGAATGATCTCTTCTACCCTGCTTGACAGGAAATTGGCTGTAGTAAGTGGTGAAACAGGTATCTCAACACTCTCTTGTACTTCTTTATTGCATTACACTTTGGAAGCTAACTGTAGAAATGTAAATGTTACACAGTCAATTGAGGCCAAAGAGGGGACAGGAGGTAGCATTTACTGAGCATCTACTGTCCCTTGGTGGGTCCTTTTAATTACAGCATCCCTGTGAAGTAGATATTATATGCATCTTACAAATGAAGAAACTGAGGCTCAAAATGTTAAGTAACTTACCCAAGGTCAGGTAACTACAGTAGTAAGTGACAGAACTGGGGTTTAAACCTGGTACTAGCCAGATTCAGACCACATGTTTTTTTCTATTTGTTTCTTAAAATTAGAGAAATAAATTTTCTTGTTTAATTGGTATTATTCCTTGAACTTTTGGAACTATAAGTATTACAATATTGAGTCAGACTGGTGGTCCATGTAACCTAATCTCTAGTGAAGTCGAGAGTCCTTTTTCAAAAGTGAAAATTCTTAGCTGCATAGGTAACTTTATACTCATTTCTATTAGATAGCATTTGAATCCTTGTTTTGGCAAAGTGATACAAAAGGTTTGTTGAAATAAAGGTGCTTTTTTGGGTCGGTTTTGGTAAAGCTTCACTGGTATGTAGGATAACATTAGCTTTTATATTTTCCTGCTTTAAAAATTAAATTGTTCAAAATTTTAAATCTTTGGTAAACTCAGAAAGGAAGTAGTTGTTTTTGCAAAAAGTAGAGCATAAAATACCTTTAGATGTTTCACTTAATTTTTTTCTTAGATTGTTTTGTTAGTATATCGCTATTAATTAGCTGGGTGAAAAGTTCGGAAAAGAAAATACGTTGTACAATTTATGGATTACATGAAGCTGAAAATAGTGAAGTAGCTGATTGGCAGATTTGGAATCTAATCTGTAGAGGTTGTAGCAATGAATCAGAACTGGAAAAAGATGAATCAAAAATTTAAAGTAAGGCTTTATTCATGAGACTAAGTACGGAATAGAGGATAGAAGGCTTAGTTGCAGTGTAAGTGAAGAAAACAAGGAAGTAACAGACAGAAAACAGGGAAAAAAATAATATGACCGAGCAATGTGTCGTGGACCTTCCAAAAATAATGCATATGTGAACTGCATTAATATAAGTTTATTATGTAGGGCAAGGGAGGTGATATGCCCTTTACTTTACTCTGCATTGGTCATATCAAGGTTGCAATGTTAATTGCACACAATTCTCTTTACTACCCTTTCAGATGAATTGGATGCATGCTCAGAGAAGAAAGTGGTCTCATCTCCTAAAAGGAGTGTTTGAAGGACCTCGAGTTATCTAGGAAAGAACAGACTTGGGGTAGTTTATAGTCATAGCTGTAGATTTACTTCTGTGACTTTGTAGATAGAGTACAGGCAAGTTAGTCATCATGTATTAGTAATCCTCTTAAAGGAAATTTGCATTTGAGGAAAGTTACTGTATGAAGAAGAGCATTATCGAGCAGCCAGTGCTTTTTCTGAGTTAGTATAGTAAGCTGCCTGGTGAGATACTTCTTTCTTGTCCTGATAGTGTTCAAATATAGGTGAGAATGGGATAGAAAGAACTTAAGCATATGATATGAGTATATTTGTATATTTGGAACAGAAAACTTTCAAGATCCCTTACCAATTCTAAACTTTTTCTGTTTCTAAGATCAAAAGGTCTTTATGCAGTATTATTTTATCCTCATGAAGCTACCTTACCTTAATAATAGTAATTTGCGTTGGTACAGCTTCTTACAGTTTATAATGTATTTTCTTATGAGTTATCTCAGTTTTGAGCTTAACAACAACCCTTTGAGTAGACAGGGCAGGTATCCCCATTTTGAACAGATCAAGTAATAGGTTAGGAGAAAGTCTGAATTGCCCCAAATCATAAAGCTTTTAAGTGGCAGACCTAGGACTCTACCCCTGGTCTACCAATTCTGATTTTAGTGCTGTTTCTACCACACCAAAAAGTAAGTTATAAGCTGTGATTGTTACTTTGCATTGAAAATTACAAGGAGCAGATGATTCTCAAATTATATTCCCATGGAAAATATAAATGTAGCTCAAGTTAAACCAAGGGTTCTAAAAGCCAAATAATGGGGAGCCATTGAGTAGATCTGTGTCAGTTGGAAGAGAACACTGTGTATAATTAATGAGAAAATCTACTTTGGGCTACTAGATTAATGATGATACCATTTACTAAGAGCAAATGCAGGAGAAGTAGCAGATTGGTGGGCCACAGAGGGAGTGATTGAATTTTGGCTATAATTAAAATAGCTAACTTTGATTGTTTACTATGTGACAGGTCTTATGTCATTATCTCATTTAGTCTTCACAACTCTCTGAAGACTTTTCAATCTCCACTTTCCATATGAAGAAAGTAGAGCTTAGATAGTTTAAATAACTTGTTCAAGGCTTCATAATTAGTGTAAGAGCAGAAATTTGAATCTAGGTGTCTGACTCCAAAACCAATGTTCTTAAGAGCTAGTTTAAGGTTTGTCTGGAATGTTTGGATAAAAATCATCAGTGTTCAGTTGAATAAATGGTTGTGGCTTTTAAGAGGATGTATCCTGGAGTTATTTGAGTCCTTACCAAAGAAGTGGGCAATACATAGCCTCTGAAAGTGTCTTTGGAAAGTAAAGATTTTATACCTGCCTCCCCCTTTTCTGCATTTTGGCACCATTTCTGTGCTTTGTAATATTGTGTGGGCATTCCCTAACCTAGGAACATACTCTGAGTGTTTGAAAATGAAAGTTACCCTTTTTAAGGGTCAGTAGACCTGTGAGGTCCTGTAAGATGGATCTTTAGGATAGGGGCATGTTTCATTAACCTTTCATCTCCAGCTTGGTGCCTAGAACATAGCATGAATGAAATGAAATGGATGGATGAATGGTTGGGTGAATAAATAGAGATAGGGAGAGTAGAGAGAGGAGTTCAAGTTCAGAGCAGCTGTCTCATGTGCGATGTGGGGTAATGGGTGGGCTACCTTTTATTTCCCAGTTGATAATTCTCCAAAGATGGTTAGCTTAGATCCTTGTACATTTGTTGAATTAACAAGTGGTCAGGGGCATTTACTCCTTTTCCCAGTGAGGGAACTAGAGAAGACATTACGTATACCTGACTTTTGGTTTTGTTTTGTTTTTAATTACACAAATAATACATATTCATCATAGACATTGTAGACACATTAGAAAATCCAAATAAGCAAAACAAACAATTTAAATTGTCTAAAATTCTACCACTCAGAGATAGCCACTGTTAACATTTTGGTGTATATCCTTCCAGAGTTTTTCCCATACAAATATATACATTAAAACATGTATATATTTATTTAAAATGGGATCATTACAATTCATATTGTTTTGTAAACTGCTTTTTTCACTTATTACATGTGACTGTCTTTCCATGTCAATAAATTTACATCTTTATCATCATTTTTAGTGACTGCATAGTATTCCATTATATGGATGTACCATGATATATTTAACTAGTTCTCTATTGTTAGGAATTTAGGTTTACAATTTGGAGTTCTTTTTGGAAAAAGTTATGGTGAGCATTCTTATATGTATATCTTTGCACACTTGTCTTTTTTTTTTTTTAAAGTTGAAATGATGGGACATTTCAAAGTTTTATGTGTCTCTTTTTGTTTTTTAAATACAGACTTAGATTGCCTTCTTGAAGGGTTGTGCTGATTTACACTTTCTCCAGCAGTATATCCAGAGTGCTCTTTTCCCCATATCCGTATTAGCACTGGGTATTATTTTTTCTGTAAATCGTTAGCAATTTGAAAGGCAAAGGTATCTTTTGGTTAAATGCATTTCTTTGATTAGTATTAAGGCTGAACTCTTTTTTTCCCTTATTGCTCATTTCTGTTGAGGTTCATTGTTTTTTCTTACAGGTTTGTAAAATGAAGTTCTTTATGTATTGAGGATACCAACCCTTTGTCATATGTTGCTTTTATTTTTTTGTAATCAATTTGTCTTTATCTTTTTACTGTCCGGCAGAAGACGTTTTAAACTTTTATGGATTCAAATGTCATTTTTCTTTCCTTTATGATTTCTGCCTCCTTACCTCATAAGTAGCACTCACCTATATTTTCTTCTAATACTTGTATAATTTTACTTTTTGACATTTAAACGTTTAATCCATCTGGAATCTCTTTGATGTAGAGACCTAGCTTAATTTTCCCCCAAATAATTAATCATTTGCCCTGATTTTCAATGGAGTTGGAATTTAGAATGTGTTTTGACACAGAATGTATTGTAAACAATGTTTGGTGAGGTTTAAATAAGACCACTGTAGTGCATTTAACTAGTAAACTCAAGAGCTTACCTGGAAAGGTAACCATCATTTATTATATCATTTCCATGGAAAAAATATTTTTATAGTTTTAAATAATCAATTTACACATTAACTTTTGAAGCACAACCTGTTGCAAATTGGCAACTGCATACTTAAATGGTGGTTCTGTACTTCATTAGAACCCTTTAGGGGTGAAAATATTCCTATACGGTTTTGTTTTACCTGTCTTCATTTGACTTAAACTGATGTGAGATCTGTTTTGGTAACTTTCTACTTGCTATACTTTTCACAGAATGGACAGCAAATTATGGATGAACCTATGGGAGAGGAGGAGATTAATCCACAAACTGTAAGTAAAATATTGTATCATAAGGGATACAGATAAATCAGATACCATAAAATTTAAGTATTCTTATTTTTAAACTGAACAAAGTAATGATTTTACAGTGTTAGAAACTTGTTGATGCTTTCACATTAATTTTACCAAAATACATTCTTGAATGTGCCAGTGACATTTTTAAAAACTGTTTGATGAGACTGATTTTAAGAGAAGGACAAGACAAACTACTTTACATTGTTGAAGGTTTTTCATTTAAAAAAAAAAACTTAAAAAAAAAGCAAACTAACCATAGATTTATTAGTGAAATAAGTATAAAGGTCATTATTTTTTGGAGATACTTAATGTTGAAAATGATTGCTCACCATTTCCTCATCTTGTGTTTTTGGTTCAGTCCTGAATCCCCAGCACCTAGACCAGTGCCTGGCACGTAATAGACACTCATTAAATATTAAATAAATGAATTAATAAATTGTCTCCTCTTGCAAGAAAACCATTGTTAGCAGCTCAGTTATTATCATCATTTTCTTCTGTATATAAGACAATTATTATTGATATTTACAAAATATATATACTCTGCCACTTGCTTTTTTCACTTAATATGTCTTGAACATCTTTTTATGCCAATACATGTAGATCTGCCTTATTTTAAATGGTTTCATAGTATTCTGTTTTGTGCATGTCCTGTACTTAATGTAATTTTCCCCCATTTATTTTTGTGAACTTGTGTTTCAGTAGGACATAGTCTTAGAAAAGGATGTGCTGGAACAAAGGATATGAACATTTAAATCTCAATAAGCATTGCCAGATTGCCCTCCAAACCAAAAAGTTGTAAAAACTTCACTATATGTGAGTGTTTGTTTGACCATACCCTATTCAACACTAGATATTATCAGAAATTATTTTTAATTTGACCCACACTAAATAAATCATACTTTCTCTTTTCAGTTTGCATCTCATTTGATTTTTAGTGAAGTGTCCATGCATTATTGGCCTTTGTATTTTTGTATTTGCCCAATTTTCTTTTGGGTTACTTACTGTCTCATTATGGTCTATATGATCTCTGTATATATTCTGGATGTTAACTCCATGTCTATAATATATCTTGCAAATGTTTTCCCCCTACTTTTTTTTTAACAGTGATTATGTTGTCTTTCACTGTATGTGTACAGAAGTTTTCATTTTTAAATGGTCAGTTCTGGCTTCTGGGTTTCATGTTTTAGTTAGAAAATCCTTCCTTGAATCAAGTTTATAAAAATATCCTCTCACATTTTCATCTACCACTTTTATGGTTTTGTTTTTTGCATTTAGATTTGTGGTCTACTTGGAATTTTAGTACCTGTTACGATGCAGAAATATAACTTTTCTTTCCAAATGGGTTGTCCTAATCTCTACTTACTGAATAAATAAAACCCATTCATTCCCACTCATTTGAGATCCCTCTTTTACCAGATGTAAAATAGCCATATACCCCTAGTATTAGTTTCCTAGGACTGCCCTAATGAAGTACCACAAGTGGGTGGCTTAAATAACAGAAATTTATTCTCTCAGTTTGTAAGACTAGAAGTTTGAAATCAAGGTGTCGACAGATCCATGTTCTCTCTGAAAGTTCTGGGGGAGGATCCTTCCTTGCCTGTTCCAGCTTCTGTTGTCTGCTGGCAGTCCTTGGCATTCCTCGGCTTGTAGACATCACTCCAATCTCTGCCTCCATTGTCACATGGCATTCTCCCTGTGGGTCTGTGTCCAAATTTCCCTCTTCTTATAAGGACACCAGTCATTGGATTAGGGCCCACCTTATTCCAGTATGGCTTCATCTTAACCTTATCACACCTGCAAAGACCCTATTTTCAAGTAAGATCACATTCACAGGTACCGGGGATTAGAACTTGAACATACCTTTTTGGAGGACACAGTTCAACCCACAACATCCCTGAATGTTTTGACTTTACGTACCTTTTCAATTACTGTACTTTTATTATATGTTTTTTATATGTGGCAAGGCAAGCCTTCCTGTCTTTTTTACCTTTCAAAATTGTAGTCTTATACATCTACTAGATGAACTTTAGAATCAGTTTATCAAACACTCCTGAAAATTTTATTGAGACTTTTATGCAAATAGCATTAAATTTATAAATTAACATGAGGAAAATTATTTTAATAAATATTGGGTCTTCACTTCCAAGAACATTCATTTATTCTGATATTCTTTTATATCCTTTATCAAAATTTTATGGTTTCTTAATATGGTTTTGTACATTTCTTATTAAGATAATTCATAGACATTTTATAGTTTTTGTTCTATTGTAAGTGGGAATTCTTTTCTGTTGTGTCTTCCATTTAGTTATTGCTAGTATGTAAAAAAAATTAGATGTTTCTATGTGCTTTTTTTTTTTTTTTTTTTGCGGTACGTGGGCCTCTCACTGCTGTGGCCTCTCCTGTTGCGGAGCACAGGCTCCTGACGCGCAGGCTCAGCGGCCATGGCTCACGGGCCCAGCTGCTCCGTGGCATGTGGGATCTTCCCAGACCAGGGCACGAACCCGTGTCCCCTGCATCGGCAGGCAGACTCTCAACCACTGTGCCACCAGGGAAGCCCTCTATGTGCTTTTTAACATCAGTTATGAAAGAGTGGGATCATTGTACTCTTCTTCTCAAAACCCTTCATAAGTTTTTTTCTTCCTTTAAATAAAGTCCAAACTCTGCAGTGTGACAAACCCTGCGTAATAAAACCTTTGCACACTTCTACCCTCTACTGAAAGTCTAATCAGTCGTATGTTTCCGGTTCTCTTTTACTCCTGAGCCTTCATAGGTGATAGTCCCTCTCCCAGAATTATTTTCCATTACCACTCCCCTCCAATGAAGTCCTGGTCATCCTTTAGGTCCAAGTTTTGCTATCACTTCAACTGAGGTGTCTTCCTGACACAGCTACCACTTTCATTTCCACCTTGAATTGAGTATTTTTCCTTTGTGCTGCCCTAGCAGCCTATGTGTATGCTACATGACAACACCACACTAGATTCCATTGCTTATTTACTTGTCTGTATTTCCTACTAAACTGTGAGCTACATGAGGCAGTGACCATGTCTGACTTACTCCTTGTTTTTACATCCACGTATCTGGCTCCCAGTACCCAGTAGGTATTCCATCAGTGCTTGTTAATTAAAGGAACATGTGAATTAAGTCTTGGCTATCATGGGGCCTAGTGCCCAAGGCTGCCTTCAGATTTGGTCTAGATTTCTGCATCTTCCAAACCATTTGGGTTATTTTACTTCATTGGTCTATAGTATATGTTTATTAGCATTTAAGCAAATGTAAAAACAATCAGTAAGTATTAATATTGATTTTTTTTGCCATCAGCCACCTTTTTTATTTTTGCAACAATTCCTTTGGAAGGAAAACCTCTAAATTTTTTATTCTCTGAAGTCTAAAATCAAATAATTTTCCATTGTGGTATTCTGCGTACGTGGCTCATACTTTCCCTCTGAGTACTCACAGCATTAGCAACATTTACATCTGGAAGTGAACTGCATTCTAGAGGTAGGTTGAAAAGGTGCAGGACTAAGATACTACGTGGGTAAAGTTGTTGAGATCATTCCACATTATAGGAATTGAGTATAAGATGAAAACCTAATATTTCTTTAATGGTATTAAATCCAAAAGATGGTCAAATATGTATTAGCCTTATACTTTGAAATTGTATTTGCCTCTAATGTACAGTTAAAAGTTTTTGTCAATTACTGATCATTTAAATAATGAAAGTTGAGATGTCGCAGTAGTTATTTTATGCATAACAAATTACCCCAAGCTTAGTAGCTTAAAACAACATACATTTATTATCTCACCGGTTCTGTGGGCCAGGAATCTGGGCACGGCTTTCTTTGGTTCAGAGTCTCTCACAGACTACAGTCAAGGAGTTTGCCAGGGCTAGAGTCTCATCTGTACCTTGACTGGAGAAGGATCTGCTTCCAAGCTCACATGTTTGTTGGCCCAGATTCCTGGCCCATAGGAACTGTGAGAGGCTAACTGTATGTATGGAGGTCGTCGACTGGTAGGCTTTCTTGTAGGTTGATTGACCCCTTTTCTATGGGCTAGAATGCAGAGTGTGATGATTAGCCAGTTTTGGCCTCAACAAGACTATAGGGCAGATAGAGAATAACAAGAGAGAAGAAACCTGGATCCTTAGTGACCTAAGGATCTAGCGACACCTCTTCACTCTAACCTAGCCTCGTGCCTATGGACTGCTCCAAGAGAGAAAAATAGGCACTTACCTTGCTCGAGACTTTGCATTTTGGGGCCTTTTTGTTAGAGCAGCTTAGTCTGTACTCTGACTACATCTAATCATTCATTAACGAAGTAGTTAATGAGTGTCTGTTTGGTGCCAAGAACTCTGCTAACTTGTTAGAGACACAGAAACACATAAGGGAAACTTGCAGTTTTAAAATGGCAAAATAAAGCTGTTTTTGTCCTCTTGTCCTCTGGGAAATTATCACCCAAAACAACAAGGACAATAAGAAACGGAAACACGGTCTTTGTAATTAGAACACTTCTGTTATTTGAACCACAATATATAAATATGAAAAGCAGATAAAAGAGTCATAACAAGATGAAGTTATAGGACCTAAGTGCTGGTGAGGAGTATATCATCAAGAAGCAAGCCTTATTCAGGGCCCCAAAGCCCCAGAAGAGCTCAAGAATGAGGTCACTAAGTATTGTGGAAAGTGGAGGTATGGCCCAGGCTGAAAATAGAGATTGGTTGAATGTCGATATGAAAAGCCTTTACTCTAACCCCTCTCCTACCCCTGGAAGAGACGAAGTATTTTATAGAGAAAAATGAACCAGAGAGGCTCCATACATGGGGAACCCCAGGCATAGTAGGAAGTGGGGTGAGACACTGGGCTGGAAACAGGGAGATCAAGGGAAAGCCTACTCCTCAATGGTGTTATGATCCCCTTCCCCTCCCCATTTCACCAACCAAGACCATATCCTCCAGACAGGAGAGTGGAGTCATCTTTCCT